CGAACCTACCACATGTACCGGCACCACTCCCACGGGATCATCAATCTTAATCAGGTTTCAGTGAGGTTTTTGGGTACTAGAGGTTTTGGGTACTATTTTAAATGGTGAGTCCTTACTTTTGCCTTTTCTAGCAAAGGATAAATCATTACCGCCATTGCTGAACCTATTGCACCCACTAGAGTAGCTTGCCATGGCGTGTAAAATAAACAACCAGCTGCAAAGGAAGGCTACAGTAGTCTGATAAGTTGGAGAAAGAAACCGACCTGTGCTCGACACTAGAGAAGCGAGCATTCCGTCGATCACCATATCAACTTGTATTTTCTTCGTTGTACAGCGTGAAATGAGCACCGTCATCATTCCGCCACCGGCTGAAGCCATTATCGTTCCGACGGCTGATCTACATTCATAATAATAGTTGCTTCATGCGAAACTTCAAAACAGATTTTCATTTCAAAGATATTCAAAAAACGACTAAAGCACAACCTTCGTCTTTCACAAAAAGAGCATTTGAGCATTTAATTAAAGGTTTAAATTTCAATGTGTTGAGCACAATTTGTCTACCTACTTAAGCAGTTGAGGCAATTCCAACTTCAATAGGTCTTTATTATTTTGCGAGCACGCTTGTGTTCCTCCACAAAATTATTTTTTAACGGGCAAAAGTAAAATGAAGATAAAGGTAAATATGAATCCTTCAGATCTCTGTATCATAAAGCGCATAGTCCACTTTGACGAAACGGATTGAACATTTAGGCGAATTTGCGACCCTCCATAACGGCAAAAATTCTGCGTTTCCAAAATTAGTACGCAGTGTATGCTTAAAGAGCGTCTACTGAGTAAAAAAAGGCATTTTGCTGGTAGCACTCAAACAACGCTAGAAATCTTTTTCAGAAATTTCATAGGCAGATCTTGACGTTCCGTCTAATTGTTCTTTTAGACAGTCTTATCAAAGTCGGAAAAAGATGATCTTAGTATATAGAAGTACATTTATTTGGATTATACATGCATAATGAAACTTGGATGCAGCAACATTTACGGTATCATCAATATAAGCACACTCAAAATTGCATCAAGTTATAGAAATTTTCGTAGTCTGCAACTCAATCAGTGCTCCGAAACGCTTTCAAAAGCAAGCCGGATTTCAGGGTAAAGCAAAACAGTTTTGGAATCGGAAATGGATGCAACTTTTTTCACGTTTGAATATGTACGTAAACAATGATTCCTTCTTCAAATTTTCTTCTGTCCCCATTCAATGCAACCTACCCGTCAGCGCAGATATGACGAATGAAGGTTAACAAGAAGATAAATGAACGCAATTGATCGATATCCAGTAAATGGGACTTTTATGGGCGGAAAATATTTGCTCGGAGGTAAGTGTCAAAAAACCATAGACTAGGTCGGCTAAGGCTTGAAAAGTTCTTGAGGAATTGGGAAATAGGCAAATTTTGCACATATAGGTCTCCGAAAACGAGGCACCTTCAACGAAACCTCCTCTATAATTGCGCTTCTTCTATAAGCAAAAAAAC